GTGGTTGAGCCGTGCAAATATGATAATCATATTCTGCTGGAAAAGAAAGTAGAGGTATCTATGGCCACTTGAGGCGGAAACAGAACCAACAATAGTGACTTAGAATGTTTTGTGGAATTTTCTCACTTGTTGGAGCTGGTTGAAATCTTGTTACAATTGTTAGTAACATCTGCTAGGATGTTGTACGCATTGTTTTTGGCGACTTTCTTATAAGCGAGAGATTTATTGTTGCGGTTAATGTTGTTGTTGCTGCTGCTGCTGCTGCTACAGTAAATGTTGATTTTGTTGTTGTTTTTGTCGTTGTAAATATTGTTTTTGTTGTTTTTATTTAGTGTTGACGCGACGATTTATATTCAACATGGAAATATTTTTCAATTTGTGTCAGCAGACCGCAGACCCGACAAACGTCATCATTATGATTAAAAATAATATTCATTCATTAATATATCTATTTATTAGATATTTACTTATTTATTTGTTTACAACTACATTCATAAAATATGGAAAGCGTTCCGACCAACCAACAACAACAAAATTCAACCACACAAAGAAAAGCATCACCGAACAAAGAACGAAATATGACATCAGTTTTAACAAAGGACGTGTCATCAACACAAAACGTCAACTGAACAAAGTAAGAAAAATAAAGAAAAATATACTCATCATAACAGCAATTACAACAATTGCAACAACTACAACAAATGCCACAACTACAACAACCGCAGACACAAAGTAAGCAACAGTAACAATAACATTTCAATTGTAATTTTCACCACAAAATAGACATCCGAATTAAAACTAAATGCATAAACAATGACATCAACTACTAAATTAACAGCTGAAACATTAACAACAACAAAATATCATCAATATTAGCGACAACAACATTAATAGTAGCAACTAAAACATGGAAAAAACAGACAGTACTAACAATATATGGAAGAAAAAATTTCAAAAACACTAACAGCCCAAACAGCAACAACAACAACAACATGAGTACGAACAACAGCAACAACAAAAACAACATGATCAACACAGTAGAAGCAACAACACAAACAACAACATAAGTATAAACAACAACATAAACAGAGTGAAACACAAACAACAACGTAAACATATCAACAAACAGCAGCAGCAACAAATGCAACAATGTCATAAAAACAACGCAAACTACCACAACTACATAATAACAACAACAAGATTATTAATGTTATAATAATAATAATAATAACAACA